GCCTTGGCGATCTCGATGTTTCTTCATAAGAAATTACTTTTTTTAAAATGTTTTTTTTAATTTTTATTTCAAAGATTATTTTAAAAGCTCTAAAAAATATAGGCGTATGTGGCTATACACAACAGCTAAACTGTTTTGAATCAAAACAATTAAAATAAAATTTGAGATCAAGAATGTTGTTGATTCTTCTCTCTATAGATTTTTGTTTAAATCGATAAAATACAAAGTTTATCTCCCATATTGATGGTTCATTTAAAAAACCATCTTGGTTTCCTTTCCCTAACCTGACTGACCCGATTAACGTAAACCAAACAGGGTTGTGGAACTTGGGTACTCGCGGCCGGCATAAAACGGCACGTAAAGTCCACCCGTTAGTCGTCGGCGATCTGTTGACCAGGGTCTAGAGCTAACGCACACACAGAGTTCAGCTGGGGGGGGGGGGAGGGAGAGGAATGTGGTATAAATATTAATTTAACTTTTGAACTCTTTATTTGTCCACACCAACATTTTTATTTCTCATTTTAATGATGCCAGTGTTTTTTGTTTTTTTTTAAATTGCAGTGTCCTAACTCTCTCCAATACGTAGACACATAATGTGTATTGTATTTCAATGTTTCTAATTTGTACATTAAATGCCAGTACTACAATTTTTACAGATCCGTAATCACTATCAATACCATCATAACATTGCTCTGCGATTTATATTCCAATATCTCTTTTTTTTTTTTTTTGAATCGGCGTGGTTTCTAAAAAGTCCCAACTTTGAACCCCGGACAGCTGAGGCTCGTTAACTGGGGGCAGCAACGCATATTAGGAGAGAAGATCCCGGATCTAAATAGGACTGGAGCAACATGGGCGTTAAGATTACCAACTCTAGTTTCCTTTTGTCAGCTTTTGCAACCGACGGTGGTACTAAACGAAATTCTCATCATTCCTTTAGACTAGACTTCAAAAGGTCGAGTGAGGTAGCCCATGATCTTTTTATCTAGTGATCTGGTACTAGTGGTACGGCCCCTGGGGATTTCACTTCGCTGTGTGCACCCGTTGTCTCCGGGGGAAAACGAGCCTTGTATTACTTACAATATGCTTACATTATTTTTATCTTAATTTTGTCTTTCGGTTACTTGGGGACAGGTGATTGAGGTGAATCAGGTGAATGACGAACGTGGACGTTCACTTGTGGTTTCTTTATATCTTAACATTCAGCTATATTCATCTTCTATCTGGTAGCATGACACAATTAAAAAGTCTTATGCTGCCTTATAAATAAACATAAATCTTAGCATGTTTGGGTCTCTCTCTAAAATTAAAAGCATCTAGCCTTACATTACAATTACAGCTACAACGATGTTTTTTTTTAGAATCCACTAATTCATTTAGTTGGGTTTTTTTTTTTTAAGTTTGTTAAAGTAGGAACGAAATATGTTAGGCAGGGGTGGACTGGCCCAGAGGCGTAGCGACGGGGTACATATGTCCCCGGGCGCCAAAATCTCATTTTATCTGCTCTTCTGGATTATAAATATAAAAATATATGGGGGGTCGCTATGCTTCTGGACTGGCCCGTCGTTCCACCAGGAAAACATCTCGGTGGGTCCCAAGCAACCAGTTTCTTCCAGGCATTCGCCCCCACCCCCCCCCCCCCCCCGAAAAATGAAATGAATATAATTTATATAAAAAACATATACTTTTAACAGTGTCCGCCCCCCCCCCCCCCCCCACCACAGAAAAAAGTCTGGAAGAAACACTGCAAGCAACGGTGTTGTAATAGTTATGTTAAAGTTTTGATTTTTTTTAATTGTTGGGGTATTGTACCATTCTTTCACGCCGAGGCGTAAAAATCAGGTTTCAGTGGAGAAAAAAATGCCCAAAGAAAATTTTAGTTGGGGGCCCTTTTTAAAATTCCCCGGATCTCTTACACACAGCCAGTGCACCGCTGGTGTTAGGGTATTGTCTAGACAAGAACCCAGACACGAATACACAATAGACATGGCCAGCTTGCACCGTGTCGGATGGTATACTTAGCCGGCATGCATTATTCAAACGTCGGGCTGCCATGATGTTGCCATAGATTGGACCGGGATTACCAGGATGAAACGGGGCATGTGTTGGACTAGTAAAAAAAAAGGAGCGCTTATAAATCCCAGAGCACGTTGGTTATGATTGAAAGCATTTATTTTGTGCTTAGGGCCGGCACGCCGTCGCTGCACCTAAAAGATGCGGAAATGAGATAGTTGACGTCATTAGAAGACTTTCTTCCAGGAATCGCTTCGAGGGGGGTGGGGGGGGGGGGGAGAAAAAAGTCTGGAAGAAACACTGCTCACTGGCTAACACGAGCTGGTGCTTCCAGTACTTCTGAGCGGGTACAGGGAGTTACTTAATTGTTACATTCGATAAGGTCTTTTTTTGTATTGTTTAAAAAAAAAAAACAGAAGCTTTGGCAGACTCCGTCTAATTAGAGGAATCGGGAGCTACAAATGTTCTGAACAGAATAGACTGTCTTCTGAATGGAGCCATAGATATAGTGCGTGGTGAGTTGTGTATAGTTAAGGGTGGATGTCTTAGTGAATTTATGTGAAGTGTGCACCTGACGTCAGAGGTACACACAAATGACGACAGCTGGGGTTGATGTTGGAAGAAAAGTGGATTAACTTTGTACTAGGTTAGCACAGCATGGGCAGCACGCCACACCATCAAGTGGTCTCACACCACAAGACACAACATCAAATGGTCTCACACCACAGGACACAACATCAAGTGGTCTCACACCACAAGACACAACATCAAATGGTCTCACACCACAGGACACAACATCAAGTGGTCTCACACCACAAGACACAACATCAAGTGCTCTCACACCACAAGACACAACATCAAGTGGTCTCACACCACAAGACACAACATCAAGTGGTCTCACACCACAAGACACAACATCAAGTGATCTCACTACACAAGACACACCAAGTGGTCTCACACCACAAGACACAACATCAAGTGGTCTCACACCAAAAGACACAACATCAAGTGGTCTCACACCACAAGACACAACATCAAGTGGTCTCACACCACAAGACACATCAAGTGGTCTCACACCACAAGACACAACATCAAGTGGTCTCACACCACAAGACACAACATCAAGTCGTCTCACACCACAAGACACAACATCAAATGGTCTCACACCACAAGACACATCAAGTTGTCTCACACCACAAGACACATCAAGTGGTCTCACACCACAAGACACAACATCAAGGGTCTCACACCACAAGACATAACATCAAGTGGTCTCACAACACAAGACACAACATCTAGTGGTCTCACACCACAAGACACATCAATTTGTCTCACACCACAAGACACATCAAGTGGTCTCACACCACAAGACATAACATCTAGTGGTCTCACACCACAAGACATAACATCTAATGGTCTCACACCACAAGACACAACCTCAAGTGGTCTCACACCACAAGACATAACATCAAGTGGTCTCACACCACAAGACACAACATCAAGGGTCTCACACCACAAGACACAACATCAAATGGTCTCACACCACAAGACACATCAAGTGGTCTCACACCACAAGACACAACATCAAGTGGTCTCACACCACAAGACACATCAAGTGCTCTCACACCACAAGACACAACCTTAAGTGGTCTCAAACCACAAGACATAACATCAAGTGGTCTCACACCACAAGACATAACATCTAGTGGTCTCACACCACAAGACATAACATCTAATGGTCTCACACCACAAGACACAACCTCAAGTGGTCTCACACCACAAGACATAACATCAAGTGGTCTCACACCACAAGACACAACATCAAGGGTCTCACACCACAAGACACAACATCAAATGGTCTCACACCACAAGACACATCAAGTGGTCTCACACCACAAGACACAACATCAAGTGGTCTCACACCACAAGACACATCAAGTGCTCTCACACCACAAGACACAACCTCAAGTGGTCTCAAACCACAAGACATAACATCAAGTGGTCTCACACCACAAGACACAACCTCAAGTGGTCTCACACCACAAGACACAACATCACATGGTCTCACACCACAAGACACATCATCAAGTGGTCTCACACCACAAGACACAACATCAAGTGGTCTCACACCACAAGACACAACATCAAATGGTCTCACACCACAAGACACATCATCAAGTGGTCTCACACCACAGGACACAACCTCAAGTGGTCTCACACCACAAGACACAACATCAAGTGGTCTCACACCACAAGACACAACATCAAGTGGTCTCACACCACAAGACACAACATCAAGTGGTCTCACACCACAAGACACATCAAGTGCTCTCACACCACAAGACACAACCTCAAGTGGTCTCACACCACAAGACACAACATCAAGTGGTCTCACACCACAAGACATAACATTAAGTGGTCTCACACCACAAGACACAACATCAAGTGTTCTCACACCACAAGACACAACATCAAATGGTCTCACACCACAAGACACAACATCAAATGGTCTCACACCACAAGACACAACATCAAATGGTCTCACACCACAAGACACAACATCAAGTGGTCTCACACCAAAAGATACAACACCACAAGACACAACATGAAGTGGTCTCACACCACAAGACACAACATCAAGTGGTCTCACAGCACAAGACATAACATCTAGTGGTCTCACACCACAAGACACAACATCAAGTGGTCTCACAGCACAAGACACAACATCCAGTGGTCTCACAACACAAGACACATCATTAAAAGGTCTTTACATTATTTACATCACAACATCAAAGGGGCCTCAAATCATAACAAGTTTACAACCACAACCTGAACTAGATTTCAATTTCGACTAGTAATCAAAGAAACCAATATTTGAGAACCTTCAACATTCTACCATAAGAAATGCCCTGCATTCAATTAACAGCAAGTTCTAAGTAATCAAGTTAACATCAACACTGAATAACAACACAATCAAATTGCTATCTTTAGTCATTGTATTTGGAGGCATGTGCAGTTCTAATTGTATTGGATGTCTGTGTGTGTAGTTGTCACTGTGTTGTAAGTCTGTGCATGGTTGTAGGCTAAGTCTGTGTGTAGTTGTGTAGTAAGTCTGTATGCAGTTGTCACTGTGTTGACTAAGATGGCCCTGAACTGTACATGGTCTGCACTATTTTCTTGTAATGATCCAAGATGACTTTTCTGTTAATAACTCTTGTCACAGGATCTAGAGAACAGGAAATAAATTCTTTGAAACTAGTATCCTACCCACAAGTCAACATCTGCATACCCTAAGCTAGCTTTTTTAAAACTAGTTTGTAGGTACTTAAAATTTTCAACGACAATAAATAAATAAATAATACTTGTTGCGCATGACCACTCATCTAAAGACCACTAAACAGATATTCTAACTTTATATTTATATTATGAAATTTGACATAGGTCAAATAACAACATCATAGCAAGGTTCATCTGTACCAGAGACCTTGGCACTATGCCTTCCCAACTTCATTTTCCATAACATGAAGTAGGTACCCATTAGAGCTGGTGGACTCAGGGACAGTCTACTGACTTAAACCCAGATTTAAGCTCAAGACTTTTGGTTAAGCAGTCCAGTGCCCTACCACTAGGCCATGCTGTCCTCTTGTCACCCTTTAGTAATTACCTGGCTTAAATATGAGACGACAAAGATAACATATTATTAGAATACTAAACTCACAAACCCTTCCTGAGCTTAAAGAAACTGATGAGCTCCATTTCATCTGCTAAGTCAGGTCTGAAGGGAACTAACTGTTTAAATACTTAACACTTTGAATTCACCAAACTTTCTTACACTCATTTAACCCTCTACCCCCTCTTACCAATTTCACCCTCCAGGAAAGAGAAATCAACAGGTAAGATTTTGTAAGTCTTAATTGATGCATCACCCAGTTGTTTGTTCACATGTGAAACAGCATCATCAACAATCTTTAAAACAGAAATCATTAACCATTACATACAAGTAAACCCACATAACCTAAACCCACAAAATCAAAACTGTACTGGATAAATCTGATTCAATCCTCAACACAAACCAGTTGTTTGTTCACATGTGAAACAGCATCATCAACAATCTTTCAAACAAAAATCATTAACCATTAGACACAAGTAACCCCACATAATCCAAACTGTATTGGATAAACCTAATTTAATCCTCAACACAAACTACTTTTAAAGTACATGTACGCCCATTTACTCCAGACTGTATTGGAATCAAATTTGAATAAATCTTTTCTAATCCTCAACACAAACTAGTTTTCAAATAATATTTCAAGTACTTGTGTGATTTATTTATTTTTACTTTAACATAAAGGTAACTTCATGTTTACCAAACATTCATCAAAATAAACACAAATCATGTTTTAACAAGATTAGCGAAAAATGTTACTTCCCCAAGCATGCTGTTGACCACTTCAAGTATCATTGATTCCTACCCCAAGCATGTTGCTGACCACTTCAAGTATCATGCTTGATTCCTACCCCAAGCATGCAGCTGACCACTTTAAGTATCATGCTTGATTCCTACCCCAAGCATGTTGCTGACCACTTTAAGTATCATGCTTGATTCCTACCCCAAGCATGTTGCTGACCACTTAAAGTATCATGCTTGATTCCTACCCCAAGCATGCAGCTGACCACTTTAAGTATCATGCTTGATTCCTACCCCAAGCATGTTGCTGACCACTTTAAGTATCATGTTTGATTCCTACCCCAAGCATGCTGCTGACCACTTCAAGTATCATGCTTGATTCCTACCCCAAGCATGTTGCTGACCACTTCAAGTATCATGTTTGATTCCTACCCCAAGCATGCTGCTGACCACTTCAAGTATCATGCTTGATTCCTACCCCAAGCATGCAGCTGACCACTTTAAGTATCATGCTTGATTCCTACCCCAAGCATGTTGCTGACCACTTCAAGTATCATGCTTGATTCCTACCCCAAGCATGTTGCTGACCACTTTAAGTATCATGCTTGATTCCTACCCCAAACATGTTGCTGACCACTTTAAGTATCATGCTTGATTCCTACCCCAAGCATGCTGCTGACCACTACAAATGCCTCAATTAGTTTTAATCCACTTGCCTCAAACAAAAATTTACTTTTCAACAAATCTCTGGACAACTTGACATCAATACCGAACTTTCTCAGCCAGACCCTGGTGGGTATAGTTAGAGTGGGCGTTGGCTCCAGCGTCTTTAAATCTATAATGGTCTGCAAGAAAAATAAAAGCAAAACAAAGATAAGAGAAACATTTTTTTCTTTGTTGTATAGTATGATGAACAACCAATTAAATATTATGACAGTGATGTTGCTTTACATCAGTTAAATTTAGGTAGTTATGATATATTAACATGACTTTAATTAAATTAATTGTTTATTAGATGAAAGGGATCATCCATAAATGACAACACAGACAAAAATGTCAGCATTTTGCAGAGAGCCACAATGCTTGAAACAGTTTAATCAAAATACAAAAACAATAGGGAATTTAAAAACAAATTTGACATACCTTAAATGTGACAATAGGAAATTCCAAAACAAATGTGACATACCTTAATTGTGATAATGAGAGATAAAAATGGTTTATCATTGCCAACTAAGATACAGCTTGCAATGATGGGAAGAATCTCTTTGATGACAATCTCCACTGGTTCGCATGGAATAGTGCACCCGTTACTCAGCATGATAACATCTGTGACAAAACATATAAATACTGATGTAAGTTGCATTTATTTCTTTTAAAATCTGTAACAAACATCAAATCCTAAATAAACTTCTGATATAATTTACACTTATTTCTTTTAAAATCTGTAACAAACATCAAATCATAAATAAACTTCTGATATAATTTACACTTATTTCTTTTAAAATCTGTAACAAACATCAAATCATAAATAAACTTCTGATATAATTTACACTTATTTCTTTCAAAATCTGTAATAAATGGCACAAAATTATAAAAGACGTGATGAAAGTTGCATTTATTTCTTTTAAAATCTAAATACTTTTATGTCATGACGCATGCTTAGCCAACTTACTGTCAGTAGTTCCTTTGATATAAATATTCCCATTGAGACCGCGTTCAAATAACAACCCTGTGTTGATGAATCCGTGTTGACTTAAAATGGTATTTTTCTCCAAAATTCCCATACACACGTGTCGACCCTTCACAAACAGCTGCAAAGTTTTTTTTAAATTGATTTCTTTATCAAATCTTTTAACATTTACAGTAGCAAACTATTATTTTAAACACTAATGTGAGTGTGTGTGTAAATATATATATATTTATATATATATACATATATATATATATATAAAATTTATATATATTAGGCACTAAACTAAAAACAAGCTAGTACTTACAGAGGGCTAAGTACTGATGGGAATGTGCCCCTGTTTATTGCATAATCGTTTAATTTCTTTAATGTTTCCAATGTACATGTGACTTTAACTTTATAGTGAAGTGAATAGAAATGAAAAACACTTACTTTTCTGACACAGTCTTCTTTTCTTTTAATTCCTCTAGACTCACAACCAAACAGCTCTTTTCCTTGTGATGCTAAATAGAAGTTCTCTAACCTGTTAAAGGCATGTGGGCCTGTTCAATGTACAGTTCGTTTAAAATTTATTGGCTTAACTACAAAAATTAAACGGCAAATTAGTAAGTAATTATAAATACATTTTAGCTAAGATATTGTAATCAGTTGATAGTTTTAAAAATTTCACATAAGTGATTTATTTCAATGTACATGCACTAATAAAAAATTTAAATATCCCACGCAACTTAAGAAAATACAGTTAAAATGGAATTTAAAGAGCATATCTATTTTTAAAAAGATCGTATATCTTGAAGCAACACTAAAAAATACACAGCACATGAAACAATTGCCGTACCAGATAGTAGTGGTGAGTCTAGAACCTCACAAATAGGAATCCCAATGCTCAAATAAAACATCAATTTTTGGACGTCTAGAGGTCTTTCAATTGAAAAAAACATTTTAACTTGATTCATTCCAAGTTTTTTTTTAAGCTTATTCTGCAAGTAGTTATCACGCCCTTTCAATTGAATCCTGAAAGACGAAAGATTTGAATTAACTTTTTTTATTCTTAATGGGGGAAATCAAACTATTAGAAAATTGAAGTTAACATTCTGATTATCCTCATTTAAAAAACGTTTAAATAGAAATATTTCCTATTTAAAAGATTAAAAACACAAATAGGTCTACTACAATTGAGTAATTAGAAAAGATTATGCAGGCTTACAATAATTACAAACCTGTTTTTAAAAACATTCTCATCTTGCATCATAGCTCTCAACTTTCTCAACAGCATAAACCTCATCAACATGTTCATGGTACTAAACTTCTCAGTAACTCTCTTATACAACATTATCCACACTCGACTGGTAGCAAAAAAAATAGATGGTCGAACCATTCGCAGAGTTTTGATAAGAGATCCCTGCAGACAAAACATTCATTTATCAAATCACTATAAGAATTTTAGTAGTGATCCCTGCAGACAAAACATTCATTTATCACATCACTATAAGAATTTTAGTAGTGATCCCTGCAGACAAAACATTCATTTATCAAATCATTATAAGAATTTTAGTAGTGATCCCTGCAGACAAAACATTCATTTATCAAATCATTATAAGAATTTTAGTAGTGATCCCTGCAGACAAAACATTCATTTATCAAATCATTATAAGAATTTTAGTAGTGATCCCTGCAGACAAAACATTCATTTATCAAATCACTATAAGTCACTATAAGAATTTTAATAGTGATCCCTGTAGACAAAACAATAGTTGGTCAAATTACGGTTTGATGTGATCCATGCAGATCAAAAAATTGAACAGTGTATAATGTAAACTACAGAAGATTTCCTAACATAATCTATTTTAAAATTACACTGGAAAGTATCTCTTGAAGCAAAATTTATAACAGTATTCATTTTCATGATTTCAGCTCCCTTCTTCTTTTTTAATTGTAATGTTGGATGGGATTTCCTTCAACACAATTAAGTATTACATGTCAACCTGTTAAACTCTGATTTCAGTATGCTTTTCTTTTTGGATATGCTTCAACAGTATTTGTCTGTCCAAGAACAAACTACAGGGCAGCAGTTGTTTGATTTTGAAAACTTGGCTACCAAAATTGACATCAATGCAGTCAGACTTTAGACAAACTTCTCAGGTGGCTCCAAAAATCCTGGGATAAAAGAGCCATTTTCATTGAACCATGAATTGGCCTACCTGCAACACATCTGGGCCAGCAAAAAAAACTGTAGCACCAAGCGCTATAGGTAACAGCATCTCCGTGACTAGGCCAAACGCCCAGCACAGTGATAGGTAGCTCAGTGTCCTGTACGGCATCAGAGAAGAGTTTTCTTTCACTGAGTATATCTTGGGTGACACTTCCTTACTGAAGACTTGAGCCATGAATGTTAACTGAGTGGATGAGATAAAAGTCATTGGCTAAGTTTGGTATAAAAATATGGACACATAATTTTTTAAATTAATAATTGTGTAAACATTTAACCTATAGCAAAGCTAGATTATAACGCTATTTAATTAAAAGTTTGATTTACAAATAACTTTCTATAAATACCATAATTTTAGAAGTTTATAGATTTAGCTTATGTAGTATTTTTAGTTGTTACATCCTAAATAACTTTTGCTCTCCTCATGGAAGGGGAATGAGGGAAATGACAAGTCTATTTTTACAGCTGTGTGTGTAGTAAGGAAGGGTTAATAACTAACATTTTATTTGTAGTCAACATAATTGGTTGACCTCAGAAATAAGCAGTTTTGAAAAAAAAAGACAGCTAATTTAAACAAATAACTTACATTGTCATGACTCATCATGATTCCTTCTGGTATAGTTTGCCCAACAATTTTATTGGACTGAATTAAAAGAGAAAATATTTGATTCAAACTCAACGAAATTATGTACATTTTATTTCAAACAGATGATTGCAATTCAAGCTTTCAGTGAATTAACTGTCCCACCAGTCAGCACAAACTTCAAACCTAAAGTCCAGTATCAGGTTGTGTATAAGGGAACATGTAATGGCCTAGATTTGTATGCAACTGGACTAAATGGTTGTAGGAAGGCATATAAATTATTAAGAATTTTATAGAGTGAGTTTGCACTGACGGTACACGATATGGTTTGAGAGTAGGCTTACATGTGGTTGTTTTGTATGACAGAATGTGTAGTGTATGACGATGATAATACAGATGATGGAGGAGACACGGAAATAAGAAAGATACCATCCTCATCACTAAGGAAAACAGTCTAGCTATAGTTCATAGATCATATAGAACAGGTTTAAGAAAGTTATGTAGTCTTATTCATAAAGCCCCCATCACAATTGTAGTAAAACAAATCTCCACAGACATTATATATCAGATAAGACCAAAGGTATTACATCTAGATTTAAAGCTCTCAATCTCAAATTTATAATGCATAAAATATAGACCAAGCAAAAAACATACTATGTAAAAGACCATTACAACACATAAATCATACACAAAACAAAACCTACCATGTAAAAGACCATTACAACACATAAAACATACACCAAACAAAACATACCATGTAAAAAACCATTACAATGCATAAAACATACACCAAACAAAACATACCATGTAAAAAACCATTACAATGCATAAAACACACCAAACAAAACATACCATGTAAAAGACCATTACAATGCATAAAACATACACCAAACAAAATATACCATGTAAAAAACCATTACAACGCATAAAACATACACCAAACAAAACATACCATGTAAAAGACCATTACAACGCATAAAACATACACCAAACAAAACATACCATGTAAAAACCATTACAATGCATAAAACATACACCAAACAAAACATACAATGTAAAAGACCATTACAATGCATAAAACATACACCAAACAAAACATACCATGTAAAAGACCATTACAATGCATAACATACACCAAACAAAACATACCATGTAAAAAACCATTACAACGCATAAAACATACACCAAACAAAACAAACCATGTAAAAAACCATTACAATGCATAAAACATACACCAAACAAATTATACCATGTAAAAAACCATTACAACGCATAAAACATACACCAAACAAAACATACCATGTAAAAACCATTACAATGCTTAAAACATACACCAGGTAAAACCTACCATGTAAAAAACAGCACAGCACTTGTTAGGGGCCAGTTGGTTGAGACGAGTAACTAGGAAAGCTGCTGGATAAGCTGAGCCTTTCTGCATGAACTGTTCCCACTAGATGAATATACAAGTACAAAGTTCACATAAAGGCATTTGTAGACATTGTGGTCACAACTTTATACCGCGTTTACACTTGCGACATGTATACTATACATTTCTAGAAAAAAAAAACTCGCTATAGGGCCTAAGATAATAGGGGAGCCTACTCACTTATTGCGACGTTTTTTTTTCTAGACATGTATAGTATACATGTCGCAAGTGTAAACCAGTATTAGACTTAAATAGTTGAATATACAAGTACAAAGCTAACACACAGGCTTTTGTAGACATAGTGGTCACATCTTCAGACTACAAGATACTAGAAATTATAGCTACAACAAGCAAAATAAGATTTAGTTGACATACTGTTTTCTCAGCGAACTAATACATTTCCTTTATAAAAGGGAAGGAAATCTTTGAGGTAAAAAACTTCAGAAAAAGGAAACTATATATTAAAAAACTTACACTGTAGACTCGATCATTTACAACATCAGTTTTTGTTATAAATATTACACATTTCAAATATGGAAGAGCATTCATGACATTAAGAATCTAAAATTGAAAAAAATATTTAAGTTCAATGAATATTCAAATTAACTTGACTTGGCAGAATAGAGACGATTAACTTTCTAACAGCTAGGTTTAATATTGTTATTTGTTTTCAAAGATCAAGTTTTAATCATAATTGGAACAAGGATGCTAAAATAAAAAAGCAGTTATATGATAATTTAAAAATTACAGAACAAGGTCTAGGTGAAGGTGTGGGATGCTTTATTTAAACTATTATCCCCCCCTACCCCAGAATACATATACGGATACCTAAACAGAACCCTCTCCTTAACCCTGATCCTTTCCCTATCACAACCATATTCTGACCACAAACAAATCCTTGAGCCATTTGTATACTTATCTATCTTTGGGGGAGGAGGGAAACGACTGGGAGTTAAGTTCTTTAATGCAGGCTAGTGATAATGACAGGGAGAGGAACTGCCCTGCATCATGTTGAGGAGAATTTCAATGGCATTTCTAAAAAGACTACTTGTCTTCACCTCTTGAAGTTGTCTGTTATCATCAACAACAACAAACCCAGCCTTTGAAGCGTCCAGGATACTAAACACCAGGGAATGTTTTGAGAAAGTATACAAATCTGTATACACTCCCCTGAAGATGAAAACACAAATATAAGAAGAGATTTTTTTTTCTTACAATAAGGTTGTATAAATATTTTTTAATACAATAATTATGAGAATTCTAAAACAAAAAAAGTTTTAGTCATCAAATGAAGCTTACCCTGCAAACATGGTAGCCATTGTGCAAATAAAGTGATAGGCTGAGTTATAACAAGCCAGAGCAACTGTTTCATTCATCTGAAGACCCAACTGTGAACAAATTTACTTACATGCATCAGAAATTTCCCATATTTAGAAAATAATAGTAGAATCAAATAATGTAACCTATTTTCTTTAAAAATTCTATTAATTGTATTATAATGCCAATCCTCAGAAATTAATCATATACCATATAACTAAATAAGTTTAATATATCAATGTATTGATATATATACTTACAGCTAATAGACTCAGTGATGCATTCAAAACAGCTTTATAATATCCTTGATATGTAACATACTGTGGCAGAGAATCGTGTTCAAAAACTGCAGTAGAAATTGTAAAATCACATGCCAATAAATGTATCTATCCTAATATATAAAAGCACATGTGCGGACTTCTCTCTCTCTGTCCGCAAAATATTTTCGCAGGATATCACATCAGAATCCTTAGCGATATATGGAGAACTTTATACAGAATTTTGTTGAAAATAATATGGTAGATGTTTTAAATGTATAACCACAATTTTATTTAAAGTAGAAAAATAAAAAATAAAGGCGTATTCGAATGTAGAAAAACAATTTTAATTATGCAACCGGAAAAGTATTTATACTTGGGACAAGAACACATTTAACAATGACGTCGCTTAATGTTTTCACTAGGGAAAGAGCATGAAACTAATGACGTCATCTTTCGAGTTTAGAATAAAATAAAGAAATGAACTATTTCATTCAAATATGATAGATCTACGTACGCTATGAAATCTAGATCTATACAATACAATTTTCTCGACCTAAACTTGTAAAATTTACTTTATCTATTTAAATTCTAGATCTCTAGATCTAGAGATTCTACATCTAGGCTAGATAATCTATGCACAAAACTAGACTAGACTTAGACGCTAAGACCTAGATCTAGATTTAGACTATCTACTCTAGAATCTATTCCAATTATAATTTCAGGCTTACTTATTTTATAGAAATCTTTGTTTGTTTAGCTATGGTATTGGCTAATTTGGGATAAAATTATGTTTATAAGGTACCTAAATAGCTGAGACAATAGTGTACTTAATACCACGCAAACAATTTTTTTTTTAATGTGAATCTTCCGATTTTAGACTATAAAGAAAGGAACTACGACATTCAAATTTGATTTAGATCTAGATCTATAGATCTTCTCATCAAGACGTACGCTATGAAATAGATCTATATACAATTTTATAGGTCAAACTAATACAAATTACTTAAAAACAACATAATGATCATTGAATAGCCAGATTTTTAACGGAATCATTTAAGTCACTTAATCAGTGTGTGCCTGTGTTATGTTTTTTAGCTAATTGGTTATTTCTTTGCATTGTCACTAATATCGTTCAGCGTGTAGTAAAGCACATCGCGTTTTGACCAATAACTATTTCATAAATTATTTTTCACAAACAAGTACAACATTTTAAAATATATAGGCCTATAATTCACGTGAAACGGGTACCGATGGCTAGTATATATAAAAATGAAAGTGTGTGGGTTTGTTTGTCTTTTATGCATTTCTACACCTTTTATCAGATCAACATAAAACTTTGGGAAGTTGTTGAGAATACACCTGGTGAGGTTTCTGCAGAAAAAAAAGAAATTGTTAATGGGCGGCGCCTTGGCAGGGTGCTATTTGGCACTCTGGGCCACACTGTGAGTACTTTAGCACCTACATTACTTTTTAAAAGTGCAATTCACTATGGACACGATGGTCTACCATTACCATATTCACTAAATCGAATGGGGCACATCCGCCAGTGCCCTGGCAGGGTGCAGTTTGGTGCATTGTGCTCCTGTGAAAGCACTATGATGCCTGCAGTAGTGTTACTGGTAGCTATCAAGAGCGCCCCTCCACACCTGAGACAAGTGGGTGGTCATTGAGATGTCTTCTAACTCACTATTATCAAGGGTGATTAACATACACTCAAGGCAGTAGTATGGACAAAACACGCCCCAACATCTATGGTCCAATAAATAAAGCACCTGTTTTGTTTACATTTAAATAGTTCATTTTAGAAAAAAGGTCAGGCGTCTAAAAATACATGCTTGGTGACGCATAAATGCAATCCTCTTAAATATTGTGTCAGCATACAGCAACTTACAGGACTAGCAAGCATATATATATATTTACTTATATATACTTATATATATATATAAGTATTTATATATGTATATATATGTATATATATATATATGTATATATATGTATATATATGTATATATATATATATATGTATATATATATATATATATGTGTGTGTGTATATGTGTATATATATATATATATATATTTTTTGTGTGATGTGAGATGATGAGAGGGTCGACAATGAACCAACACAAAGTCTGTGTATAAATTACTTCTATATTACTTGGAAGTACATACGAGACCTAGGCTGCCTATTAGAGAATGGACCTCAAGCTTTCCTAAGCCCACCTTTCATACCCTACCTAGCCTCAAAGTTTTCTGTGCTATATGTCACTTCCCTCCCAATTGTTCCTATGCTACAGAATTGTGTGTACTATTTATTTACATTCTTTAATATCAATTTAACTAAAATAGGCTATAGTTTGAAGGGTAATGAAAACATGTTAACAAAAGGTATGCTACGCTAAATCTACAAGAATACTTATACGTAACAATCCTAACACACACACACATATATATATATATATATGTTTATATATATATGTATATATTATTTTTATTTCGTGAATATTCATATCAACACCAAAGTGTTACCATTACCCGCGCAATGCCGGGACCACCAACTGCAAGGAGCGCTGTGGTAATATACTTATCCACATTGCAGTGAAGCACTTGTATAAGCTAGTATATATACATATAAATATATATATATATATATATTATAATATATATAAACAGTGTCAGCCTAGTTACCTAATGCTGCCCTATCTTTGAATTGTTTCACAGCCGTCAAAAAAAAATGTGGTACTGTAAGAGGCGGAATGTCAAAATCCTTTGTATCTAACTGAACAGCTTTATCTAGCTGGTCAACAAACTGTTCATCTGCTTCAACAGGCACATTAATAGATACTGCAACAAAATCACATTATTATATGACAATAACAGAATCTTTGAAACACTTCTTTCTATCATCTACTGTTAAATAATCATAACCTTAAATCTTTAAAATCTATCTATATATATTATTCTCTTCTGGGAGCCGTTAGAAAACAAGCTGCAAGCGCCTCCTTGCAGTCCCCTCTGTTTCTCTCTATCACTATCACTACCACCCCCACCCCACCCCCACATTGCCTGGTGAGCTGTGGTCACACTGTTTATATTTTACAATCATAGAGACGGGTTTGGTGACGGCTATTAGGGGCAGATAATTTAGTTTGAAACGATTTAAAGCTTAGAGGAGGTAACCAAGAGGAGGCTGCTTTCACGTGGGGGGGGGGGGGTTTAGTGTTTTTAAGCAAATATTTTCAGTGGCCGCGATGGTACTGTCGAATTCACAAATTATAAATTACTGAAAAGTAGAAAAAAAAACAACTAAATAGCGGTGTATGATACGCAGCGGGTCGGCTAGTTATTTTTATTTTAATAGCACTTCAAAAAAATAATTAACATGTATACTTCTGGCAAAAAGTGTATATATAAGGCATACATTTAAAGGGTATTATCTGTGTGGAAAACCATGTCATGGATATGTTAGCATGCTACCTTTGAACATGATTTGATTATAGATAATACATATAATATTTTATGTATTAAAATTGTTATCAATAAAAAATTTATGTACACAATATAGGCTAAACAAAAATATTACCCCAAGGTTGTTTTTTTTTTTTTTGCATTACATTTGTTACACAAAATGTCTATATTTTTATAGCTTTTTTTAACTACTATCAACAAAATAATAATGTAAGTTTATAGAGACCTATATCTAATATAAACAAAAGCAGTAATAAAAAAAAATGATACCTCTGCGGTCTACCAGTTCTCCAAACTTCTTCTTTTTGTAGACACAGTAATCATCTCCAACTAAAGGTGTTTCACTTTCAGAACACAAAAATGAAATGATAATAAAAACAGTATTTTCAATAAATGTCCACATAAACTCATTGTAAACAATGACAGCAAAATGTTTAAGCTAAACTTAATGCAAAATCACAATATATCATAACCAGCATAAAAATCACAGATAAGTGTTACATAGAACCTTTAATTCATCTGTTTGTTATATTTTTAGTGCAATTTGGGCCTTAAATTTTGTAAAGATATTCTCAGTTTAGCCAAGCTTAATATAGTTTTTAAATGAGAATGACCTACTAATTAGTAATAGGCCTACTTACTTCAATGAATCAGATTCAACACTTGACAAATATGAGGAAAGTTCAGTCATATTCATTCAAATTCTATGAATTGAAAAAAAAATTTAATTTTAAAAAGTGTACTACCCTTTTTTTATAAATGTTTTTTGTGTGTTGTTTGTCATTCATAAGAGATACCATTTTACAATTTAAGCGTAGCATGGAAAATAAAGACAAATGATCTCAGAAAAAATGTCCATGATATTTTGTCTGAGATAATTTTAGCCGCAAGATCATTTGTAATCAGAAACATTGTCCTTGAGATATTTCATAAGGGATACTTTTTTGTCCTGTTATCATTTGTATAGGAACCCTTTATATATACTGTTTTCAAGAAAATAAAACAATTACCAACTATATCAATATGAAATCATATTATTAATATCTATATATATAATTCTCTTCTTGGAGACCGTAGAAAACACCAAGCTGTAAGCGCACTCCCTACCACCCCCACCCCTACATGGTCTGGTGAACTGTGGTTCACGCTAAACGTTTAAAATCGTAGAGCCGGGTTTAATGACGGCTATTAGGGGCAGATAATTTAGTTTGAAACGATTTTAAATTTAGGAGAAGTAACTAAGAGGAGTTTCCTTTCACATGGATGGGGGTTGGGGAAAGGGGGGGGGGGGGTTATTGTCTTTAACGAGCTACTGATAGTGTTTTAAAGCAAATATTTTCAGTGGCAGCATTGGTAATGTCGAATTCACAAATTATGAATTACTGAAAAGTAAATAGTGGCATATAATACGCCACGGGTCAGCTCGTTATTATTATTTAATCAATTTTCAGGAAAATTATATATATATATATATATATATATATATATATTATTATATATTAATAAGCATTTTGATGATAATAATATTAGGTATAAGTATAAAATGAATAATATGTAGGCCCCTAATTTATGTATTTAATATTTATTAATGTGCTGGCTGATTTCCCTCCCAACCCTATGTGACAAAGATGCAAGCTAACAACCCCCCCCCCCCCCCCCCCATCGAACTTAGATCTGATTACTAATACTAGTAATACTACTACTAGATCTAATTTAATGTCTAATAGTAATTAATTAATTAATATTTGAATGAATCATTAAAATATAAGGTAATCTATCGTTTTGGGTACGTAAAATCGCCCGCGGCTAGTAATGTACGAAAACGTTACCTCATTGTCAAGGCTGTAATAGAAGTATATTGTGATATGTTTGTGTCAAATATTATAGATACATGAATAATGAACCTAAATCAATGGCTAAATATATCAATATAGGCCAGAAATTGACTTTAAACAGCAGTGTCTGCAAGCAAGATTTGCTATATAAACAGCAGCCATTTGTAAAATAGAGTGACTTCCGCCTGAATCTCGGCTATAAGTCTATAAAAATAAAACTAACAAGATGTCTGCTATAGTAAATGAGCAGGGTTGCATCTGTTGGAAACATCGCTGGTGTTCATTTATTACTGAAAAGTTTTAATTCAATTGTTTAAAAGCCGGTACATAAATGAAACAAGGAAATATTTTGGTATTTTTCAAAAAATTAAATCCTCCTCAAAATGTGAAATAATTATTAAAATGTAAAGAGTCACCTGTTTTTCACATTACTAGTCGCGGGCGATTTTACGTACCTAAAACGATAGATTACCAAATATAATAATACGTTAAATTAATATGTAGTAAATCAGATGCAACAGGGTGGTCAAATGGCAGAGCCACTGGCTGCTGTCATGAAGGGTGAAGTGAAGGTCTTGAGTTCAGATCTTGGTTTTAGAATTTTTATTTTTAATGTAGGACTGTAAGTGTAAAGTACTAGATCTAACTAAAGTACTAAAGGTGTGTTAAGTACAGTTAAGTAGTACTAATAACTTGAATAAGTACTGTTAAGTGTAGGACACTGTAGGAAATAGTTTTTGCTATGTCACAGCTGGGTAACACTCAGGGATGTCCAGTCCCAAATCAATAGAGAATCTAGATCTAAATTATATCTCTAAGCCTAATTCTAAAATATAGATAACTTAACCTGTAGCTTTAGCCTCCTAAACTCATAAACTATTTTTTTTTAACTAATTTTTGTTTGTTTGCACAAATGGGTGGGACGCAACCAGATTTTTATGGCAATGCGTCTCAAATCAATTGTTGTCGAAGTTGTTTAGTTTTTAATTGAAAGGTTTTACATAAACGTCTGGGCTTCTTTTAAATATTTGTTTTAAAATGTTATTAAAATCTGAAAACGCACACTAATTGCAATATCAAATTATGTTATATTATAGTTTGACAATATTTAGATTATTTCAATTTAATATTAGTGTATATGAAGGTCAAAACGAAAACAGTGCTGTTTTCGTTAGGATTAGAGGAAAATCGGTTATGGCTATCTGCTATCGCTAAAGAATGGCCTTCGAATCTGTATACCATAAATAATGAATAAATAAATGAAATGCATATAACAGGACAGAGCTGCAATACTTATTACTCATTCTGATGAAAAAAATCCTATTTGGCAACTAAAATCATGTTTACTTTTTGGTATAGTGAACCGAAATACAGAGGAAGTATTGTAATCGTGCAAAAAATCGAGATTTTATTTTTCTCTGGGTTAAAACTTTTACTTGATTTTGTAAATTTGCCCCCCCCCCCTTCTCTCTCTCTCTCTCTCTCTCTCTCTCTCTCTGTATGTGTCTGGTGTGTCTGTCTGTGTGTGTGTGTCTGTTGACACAATGACTTGTTGTAGTTAGGTTGACGAAACTTAATACTTAAGTATTGTATAAATTGTGTAGTTTTCTATTCACTTTTGGGCGATTTCCTGTTACCGGAAGTGGTACTTACTCTACTTCCGGTTTCTTTGAAAATTAATTAAGCATCCAATTCAAGTCCAATTTGATGTCAGCTTGCGTTGTCATCGGATCTTGACCCACGTTCCAAGCAGTAGCGTGCAGAGCTATTTTGCAGAGCTAGGGCCAACCCAAGTGAAGATGTCCCCATATATATTATATATATATATATATATATATATATATATATATATATATATATATATATATATATATATATATATATATATATATATATATATATATATATATATATATATATATACTGTGTTAAAAGTTTTTAATAGCCGTACAATTGAAGATAAACTACAACAACAAGCATTATGTTATTAAACAGAATACAAATAGAAAAGCCTTAAAAATTGACTTAGCTAAACTTTTGAAAACACTGCATAGATATAAATCCGAAGGAATGACTGACTCAAATGTAATAATGTGTGAAATTTTGGGGAGGGGAGACAGTTTGGGTACATGGGGGGAGGATGCTATTTGTCATGCCCTACAAAAGAGTTTCCAGTTTTACATTGCCCTAGCGGACCGGGCTGCGGTCACAGAGGTAAGGTATTCTTTGTTGAATTAAATTGGGAAAAAACTAAAAGTCAAAGTTCAACATTGTTGATTGTTACAACTGAGGCCACGGTCGATGTGAGTTGTCTTCCACCTGAACTGCGATAGGAAGACATTAGTGTCACACCTCGCTGTGTGAAGGGAAGAGTTAAACTATTATATATAATCACTTGTATATACAGTTTGAATCGTGTGATTAATTTTAAAAAAATTACAATACAGAAACAAATACAACTGATGTGGCACCACTATTTAAATTTACTTATGAGCAAACTACGTAGTGGTAGGGACATTTTGACAAGGTCAACAACGTCATCACGATGAAGTAGTAGTATTCTTACAATTTGGGCGATAGTGATTACGATTACAAATTATATGAAACAGTTACAACCCCCCGTCTCCCTCATGGACCCCTCTGTAATTAAAATATTGTCATAATACCACTGCTACTTTTTAAAATCTATTTCTGTAATATATATTTGTGTAATATATATTTGTGTAATATATATGTATGTTTAGAACAGTCATCTAAAAAATGACGCTATGTTCATTCTTAGTTGGTTATCTACCCCCCCCCCCCCTCAACACCTCTCCACAACAATTGTGTAGAGCGACATTAATGTCACACCTAGGTATACACTGGGTTGGATAATTGACCTAAAGTTAACGGACAGTGGTGAATGAAGTTGAACCCACCCCCCCCCCCCCCAACCCACCCCGAACTGATCTGTTAAGTACCTGTAGAAAAACGCGTAATGATGTACCAAAGTACCATGCCGCCAGAAAATTAGCGTATTAAACGTAAAACTCTGAGAATATTGTTTTTGCAATTACCAGTAAAAAGGTGTGTGAGCAATAGAGTGATCTAACCCATACCTATCACTATGTTAAAAAATTATCTTTAAAGAACACAAAGAAGCAGTAGTTAATTAAAATATGTGATCTGAACTAAATGACCGATAATTAGTTAAATATAGGCTGTTATTCCGAATGCTTTTCTATTTTATCGAAAAGAGTGGTTTTATACCAAATCTGATTTTAAAAACTTTCATTATACTGTAATACTTTAGCATTTACGATGACGATACATTAAATTCTGATTATAGACAAAAACATTTTGTAAACAAGAATTTCGTTATATTCTAAAGTAATTATTTATTTGTTTTGACATTTATAATTAAATGTGTAGATATATACATATTTATATTAAGAGAGTAATTATTTCCCCTATTTCACTTGTTAAATAATTTCCCAGGAATTATTATGTAAGAATTTTTTTTTTTGCTCTTTTCGCTCCCCCTACAACGAAAACCTGGATACGCCTCAGCTGGTACTCATTTAATTATGTATTTTTGGGAACAATATTTTGAATAAAGTTGAAAGGAAAAATTTCATGGATAAATTGAGTGTAGGCCTATCAGTTATTTATTTTTCTTAAAAATATTTTGTAGCGATAGTTACATTTTACCCGTACCATTCCACCTATGCACTGTAACCCAATTTATTAAAACAATGACTTCTCCCTCATGTAGGAAGTGGTTCCCATGCT